GATATTGGGGGTACTAAATTTTGTACTAAAGACTGTGGTGCTATTACAGGATTCGCATCAGAAATACTTCTTGTTCGACAACATCGATTTTTTCGTTTTTGAAACCAACAACCCATTTTTAACCATTGTGATCGAACATCATTTCGTGCAATTCCATAAAAAAAAAGGATAAAAATACCAAGTGAACTAGAAAAAAATGAATATAATGTAGCAAATATAGTCTCATCAAATGAAATATATGCATTTAATGGTTTTGTTATAGCTGCTGCTGCAGTAATCCATGATATTAAATATAAAATTAATGTAATAATTTGACCTTTTAATTGAGTTATTTGAGAATGTTCTGAATCTTCAATATCAGATAAAACAGTTTGTGCACTATGTGCACTATTTCTATCCACAGAAATATTTGTATTCGGTTCCAATAATTCTAAATCCATATTTTCTGTAGCTTGTGTACCTTCAGATAACTGAGCATTCATATCAACATTCTGTATTGAGCATTTAATAAGTAAATGAAAAATAATTAAATACATAATTAGAATTCCAGCTGGAACAAAGAGAGCAACAAGTGCAGGTCCAGATGTGAGAAAGCAATAAGAATATCCAGCATATTCTCGTAAATTTATTGCACCAGATATACCACAAATGATCATAGCTATACCCCAACCAACTAAATAAAGTCCTAATAATGGCTTTGGGATTGGTTGATCTTGAAGTTCATTATCTGGAATATCTTCGAGATCTGATTTAGATAATTTTTTATACATATTGCTATAAATAAATCAGTATTTTAATATTCATTTTTAAACTGTTAAAAAAAAAAAAAAAAAAAGAAAAATTACCTTGCAAATACTGCCATCCATAATAAAGAACACAAAGATAAGTAATGCAGAATAAGACCAACACCTTGACAAATTGGTATATTTTCTGTTTGATAAATACCAATACTATAAAAAAATGATAATAATGCCATAGCAAACCAAGTATTAATAACACAATGTTTTGCCTTTTTAGGCATAGTAATTGATGTGTAACAAATAATATATGTAACAGACATAAAAATTAAACATGTTATTGTTGCAATGCTACCAATATATATTGCAGGATTTGAATATCTAAATTTTGCTCCATTTATGCTAAAAAAAAAAAAGAAAAAAATTAAAAATTAATTTATATATAATATTTTTAATATAAATTTATTAAATATATACCTGTTATCATCATAATCAAATGAAGATGTATCTTGTAAAAGACCATAATATCCTAATCTATTGCAATGAAATACTATTAAATTGTTTAATACGTTTCTTAAATGACAACCATCACTCGTCCAACCACCTGATTTATTTAATGTTTCATCCCAAACTACAGGTAATAATTTTTTTCCAGCATAATAATACAAAGGTACTTTAAGCATAATATATACAGGCTCAGTTAAATTTTGTACTGACATTCCATCTAAAAATAAATTTGAAATTACATATTATTTTATTTTTCAATAAAAATATCTTATATTTAAAATTTTTAATTATACATACATAATTTGCTTCCAATGACACAAGATGCAATATCCATATTATCATTGTTATTTATTTTAGGAAACAATCTGTTATTGCTATATACGGAAATCATTAATTGATAAGCAACAATTTCATGTGAATAATGTAATAAAGATGCAGGTAAATGTATTGATGCTTCAATTACTCTATCTTTTATATTAATAGGAGATGTTCTATTGTTTGTTGTACATTGTAAAAATCGTATTTCTGGATTATTATTGGAATACCACGTACATATCAATCCTGTGAAACTATCACGTTTAACTCTAAATTCTTCTAATGCCATATTTTTTTTATAAAATTGTATAGATGGAGTAAATTCTATAATTTTTTCAACAGCTTTTATTATCCGTGTACAAGATTTAAAAGAAATTTCAGCTTTTCTTAAAATATTCTTTGGTACATTAATTAAAGTACTAATAATATCAATTAACATGGAACCAAGTTCTTTTTCTTCAATTATAAAATTTAAATAATTTTCTATAGTTTGAGTTATAAAATTTATTTCAATAGGATCAGTTATTTTTATAGCATTTCCTGTATAATTTTTGAATTTCTTTGCTGTTTCTAATAAATTGATTTTCGTAAGTGAAAGATTAACTTTAGAAAACTGTTCTAAGCTTTTTGTTATATGTGATATGTAAGGACATAATTCTGTGTTTAGATTTTCCCAATATCCAGTAATATTACATTGATAAGAAGCTTTTAAAGACATTTGCATTAAACCTGATAAATGATTTCCTTCACATGGCAATTCTGCCTTCCATCCTACTACAGTTTTTGGCCATGTGTACATACCTTTATTATTTTTAGTTACTGTAATATAATTATTTATGATATTATTACATTAAAATTTCAAATGTATAATTTATCTTACCTATTAAAGGACAATAACGGGTTTCTTCAGAAATAACAATTACACTAATTGTTTTTGATCTATTACCATTTGTAGAAACTAATAAACAATTCCATTGACCATTATGTTCTTCTTTAACTGGAACAATACTAAGTGAACTATAAAAATGATAATATTATTAATGTTATATTATATGTATAAGTTTTTTTTTAAAACTTGTACATTATATGAAATATTAAAATACCTGTCTACAATACCACTATCTGTAAGATATCTATTATCAATTTTAATATTAGATAAACTTTTTTGTGGATCTAAAAATGAATTTAAATCTATGATTTCAGAAGTAGTGTTAGGATACCATAACCAACTTAATTTTGCATTTTTGTCTTCTGTTATGCTAGGTGCTCTACATTTTAAAGTTATAGAATCTCCAGCAAATACTACTTGATTATGAACTGGTCGAAGTTCAATTGTAGGTGGTAACCATTGACACTGAATATTTTCTGAATACTTTAATTCCTTCACAAATTCACCTTTGACATTTAAAGGTGATGCACATTTTGGAGCAGGACTGAAATATTTAAAAATCTATTAGAAATTATAAAAAAAATTTTTATTTCAGATTTATAAATAATTTACCTTAATTTTATAGAACTATTATAAATCCAATTACTAAACCAGTACAATTCACAATCACATCTCCATGGATTATTAGACAAATCTCTAAAAAACAAAATTTAAAATTTGAATAACTTTATTTTATATATTTATTATACCAAATAACTTACTTACAACTGTTTCAAGAACTTTAGGTTATAAAAAGTACCTTCCATTAAAGTTGTCAATCTATTTTCATTCAATTTCCTATAATATTTTAAAAATCAATATTATCTTTTAAATATAATTCTAATCATATACATATAATATATAAATATATATATTTATAATCAAAAAAATAAATACACACATACAAAATAAATTAAAATTAAAATTAGAAACTCACTTACAAGCGTTCTAAAGCCAGTAAATCATGAAATAATGATGGTTTCATCGTACTTATGTTGTTGTTCGATAAATCACTAATAATCAAATAAATAATGTATAAGATAAAAAAACATACATAAAAATATACATTAATATATTTATATCAATATATTTTATACACTTATGAACTTATGAACTTACAGTCTTTTTAAATTTGATAATGTCTTAAATGTGTAAGTATCAATAGTTGAAATTTGATTTTTACTTAAATCCCTAAATAAAACAATTAAATACATTTATAAAATATATTCAATAATGAATAATCTATTATAACTAATATTAATATTCTTACAGCCTTTCTAAATTTTCAAGACCATTAAAACAATCTTCACCAATAAAAGTTATATCATTTCGTGATAAATTCAAACGTTTTAAATTTGTCAAATTTTTAAATATATTAGCTTCAATAACATAAATATTATTTTTACTTAAATCTCTGAAATATATTAAATATATATTATAATAAAAAAAATTATTAATTATATTTTAATATTAGTTAATTATATAGAACAATTTATAATAATCTTACAATTGAACTAATTCCACACTGACACTATCGATATTGATATCTCTAATATTCTGTAATTCATTATTGCATTTAATACGTAACCATTCAGCTTGTGCACCAGGTTTACATGTACAATATTTTGGACATATCTGGATTGATTTTCCTCTTGTTTGGATTAAAATTAAAAACAGTAAAATAGCTCTCATTTTTAAAAAAGATAGATTTTTACCTAAAAAATATCAATTTAATTAATAAGAAAATTGAAATAAAAAAATTGAAATTATTGATTATAAAAATTTTTGATTGATTACAAAAATAATTGATAATATAAATATTTTAAGTATAAACATTAAATAAAATACTAAGTATAAATAGTAAACAAAATAGTAATAATATATAAAATTAATAATATAATATAATTATTATATTTTTTAACAAAATTCAAATTCTAACAAATATTTTTTTGATATGCAATATATAATTTTCATTCATCATTTACATCTTTTATTATAAAAAACAAAAATATAATAGAATGCTTTTATATAAATATAAACAATGAACTTATATATAGAAAAAATTTAATACGTACGCCTAATAAAAAAATTATATTTATCATATTGTTTTAATGTTAAATTCCATATCATTAATATTTAATAATTGCAAAGATAATTATAAATAATCACTTATTTCAAATAGCATTTAAAGATAACTTACGAATTGTCATAAACTATCGACTATGTATTTGTATATAAAATATAGAACTAATTATAGGCTGATTTTCACGTATTAATTTTAAAAATATTATTTTTGTTTTATTTCATAAAAAATAATTTTAAAGAAATAATTTTTTTGAAAAATTATATTATGGAGAAAAAGTGTAAAATACTTTAATATTTTTTATATTATAAAAAATATTTATAAAAATTAAAATTATTTTAGAAAATAACAATTTTCATAAGAATCCATCATAATAATTGTATCTAACCTATTATTTCACTTTAAATATTGTTCATAAAATAAGGTATTTAATCATTAATTATTAAATATATTTATGTAAAAGTCTTTCAACAATTAGATAAAAAGCTAAAAATATATAACTGGAAAAAATATTTTTGTGAAAAATGTCTGCTTTCTTTTTTTATACTTTGTTTTATACTTTAATGTCAGGATGTATCATATATCCACCTACAGAATTTGTATCAGCCGGTTTAACCATAAAAGATATATTTTCAAATTGGTTAGGTAGTGAAAATGAATTTTTTGTACAATATCATATAAAAAGAAGTATCATTACATTATTTATACATTCTATGCTCCCATTTGGTAAATATATTTATTTTTTCTTACGCTAAATATTTTCTGTATTATATTGAAATAAATTTTTTTTTTTGAATAGGTTATGCTTTTGGTTTAGTTTTGTTTGGACATGTAGATGTTGTCAGTGCATTATTAGATCATGTCAATTTATGGTCAATATTTGTTACTTGCTCTATATTGATGCCTTTATATACTTTATATAAAATCTTAATATGGTCAATAAATAATTGGAGTAAACATCCAATAGCACAAAATCTTGCAATTTATTGTAACAACAATAATAATAACAGAATGTCATGGACTACGGTAGCTTCTGATATTAATGTAGAATATCAAAGGTTATATATTAAACTTAGAATTTTATTTATTTAATATATTTTTTTGAAAAATGACTAAATCATTAATATTTTATTTTAGAATAGATAAAACAATAATTACTACAAATAGTATAACATCTATAATAGCCACTGATAATTGGATAATTAAAGTTTTACCTTATAGAATAATGGTTGCTCATCAAAATGATACAGCTTTAATAGTTAATAAAAGTGATACTCATGAAATGTCACCTTTGACAAGAGGAGAAGTTCAATTTATTAATATTGAAGTAAATTTTTAATTACAAATATAACATTCTATAAATATCATAAATATCAATAGCATGTAATATATTAATTAAAAATTAATTAATAATAATAAATTATGTTTTTATAAAAAAAATTTCATATAAAAATAAAACTATTTTGATTTATTTTTTTATTATATTTTATTATAATCAATCTTCATTATTATACAGGTAAAACCTACTAGACCAGGATCACAACCTTTTGATATAAGATTGAATGTATTTGACTTTAAAAATCTTCAAGATAAAGTATCTCGTCCTATTATCATATTACAGAATATTACATTTCATAAAACTTTACTTGATAAATTTATTGATAATTTTAAAGAACAAGTACAAGAAAATCCATATTATGAATATACAGAGGTATTTTATTTATTATAAATTTAATATTGCGTTTGTGATTGAATGAATTATTGTTGTATAAAAATATTTAAAGGAATTAGGTCAATGTATAGGATGTATGCAAGCCTTATCAAATATAAAATTGAATAAACAATGTAGTAGTGGTATAGGAAGTGGAAATCTTGAAGATTGTATGGTATGTTATTGTCGTCCAATGTGGTGTATAGACTGTATGGCAAAATGGTTAATATATAATATATATAATAAATATATTTAATTTTTATTTTATAATACAAATATATTAATGAAAATTATATTATTATAGGTTTGCATCAAGACAAGATGAAAATGCACCTGAAACATGGTTATCTTCTAAATGTACCTGTCCAGTATGCAGAGCAAAATTTTGTATTTTAGATGTATGTCTTATACAATCTACTTAAATGTAAAAAATAATATCCTAATGGAATTATATTTTTTATTTTAATTACAAAACTATATTCTATCTAATAGAAACAATACATAATAATAATAATATACAAAAATAATTTTTAATATTATTTATTATGTTTTGTTAATTAGAATAAATGAAAATATAATGAAATGTATTTTTCATAGAGCATAGTGTGATATATTCATGCCTAGATTTCTAGATAAAAATATTAGTACTATATAAAAAAATAAAGAATAACATTTTTATTTATTAAGATTTATATTTAAGATTATAATTATACTTATATATATATATAAAGATTTTACATAAAATGTTAAACTAACAAATAAATTATATGGTTTTAAATATTTTAATAAAATACAAAACTAATGGTAATATAAAATATGTTTTATAATTATTTTGTAATTATTAGAAATACTTTGAATTATTATAATTATGCTACCATTAATCTAGGTGCAATATTCATAGCCATAAGTTCTTGGAAAAGTAATTTTGCTGCATATGGTAATCTAATTTGAGAAATTTGTGTTTTGTTTTTACATCCTTTACATTCAAACGTATTATTCCTTAAATTTGCTATTGCAATTAAACCACAAAAGTTACATATATGTATCCGATATGGATCTGAGACTTCAAATAAACGTTCTCTTAGAAATTGTGCAGCTCCATGAGAAATTTGACAATCGCGTTCCATTTCACCAAATCGTAAACCTCCATCTCTAAATTTATATATTAGATATATGAATATGAATACATAATTACATTATATATTAAAAATATGAATATATAAATGATGATAGATATAAAATAAAAATTATATATAATTTACCTTGCTCTTCCTTCCATAGGTTGTCTAACTAAAATTTGTACAGGTCCTCGAGCTCTACTATGAATTTTATCATCCACCATATGCTTTAAACGTTGATAATAAGTAGGTCCTAAGAAAACTTGAGCATTTATTTTGCGGCCTGTATGACCATTATACATAACTTCATTTCCTCTCAATTGATAACCATATTCTTGTAGAAGTGTAGAAATTTTCTGTACATTTACAGCATCATTAAATGGTGTAGCATCACCAATTTCACCTATAGAAACATATTATAATCAATTTATTAAATATACTTATTAAATTTTTAATATTATGTTGTAATTAAAGATAAAAACATAAATACCTTTATTAGCAGATACTTTTCCTTGTATACATTCAATTAAATGACCAATAGTCATACGTGATGGAATAGCATGAGGATTAATTATAATATCTGGTGTAAGACCTTCACATGAAAATGGCATATCCTCTTGTCTATATTGAATTCCACAAGTACCTTTTTGTCCATGACGTGAAGCAAATTTATCACCGATTTGTGGAATACGAACGCTGCGTACTCTTATTTTACAAAATTTATATCCTTCACTATTCAATGTCAACATTACTTGATCAACTATACCAGTTTCACTATTACGTAAGAAAGTCGATGCATCTCGTTTTGTAAAACGTTTCGTTGTACTATCCAACTGTAATTATTTTAAGATGTAAGAAGATATCATAAATAAAATTGATTTAATAAAATTATTATATAAAAATATATACCTCATCATCTGCTTCTGGAAGAGTAATAGTTTTACCTATAACTACATCATCTCCAGATACACGAATTCCAGGAGCAATAATTCCATCATCATCTAATTTATCATAAATAGCATTGCGCATTCCTTGACAAGTTTGTCGTGTAGGTTTTTCAAATTGTTCTTCTTGATCTCCAATTCTCTTAGATTCTGAATCTTTATAAGATCTATAAAATACAGATCGAAAGAAACCTCTTTCAACAGCACTAGCATTTAAAATAACACTATCTTCTTGATTATAACCAGTATAACATAATATAGCAACTATACTGTTAATTCCAGCAGGTAATTCACGAAATCTAAGATATTCCATAGATCTAGTAGTTACCAAAGGTTTATGAGGATAATATAATACATGTGCTAAAGTATCCATTCGAACATGAAAATTTGTAATATATACTCCCATAGCTTGTTTACCCATAGCACTTTGATAGGTATTTCTTGGACTCTGATTATGATCAGGAAATGGAATAATTGAGGCACATACTCCCAAAATCATTGCTGGATGAATTTCACAATGTGTATATGTTGTACAATATGCATATTCTTTTTCTTGTCTCAAATCTTCAGGTGACATTGCAATCATAACAGTTTCTTCTTCTAAAGTATCAATGTATTCAACAACTCCACTACCAACTAATTCTTGCCAGCCATCATTATTATAATCTCTTTCCTTTAACATATCAATATGTCTTTTCTTCAACAATAGATTTTGCCCTTCAACAATTAATAAAGGCCTACTAATTCTCCCAGCATCTGTATATATTCTGATTTCACGATCCCTAATATCTCTTATCATAGATACTTCTGATACAATAATATCCATTTGTCTTCTTAATTTACGTAAAGTAGCCATTAATTGATCTGGATCTCTATGAATTCCAACCCAACAACCATTTACAAATATTTTTGTTGCATCAGCTATTGCACTTGGTGCAATTTCTTCTAAATTTTCCATAGACCATTCCTCCAAGAATTCAAGAATTGGTGAAGGTTGAGATCCAACACTTATATATGCCATTAATGCCAAATTTTTTACTAGACCAACAGCAGCACCTTCAGGAGTTTCTGCAGGACATAACATACCCCATAATGTATTATGTAATTGACGTGGTTTGGCTAATTTTCCATCTCTTCCAATTGGAGAATTTACTCTTCTTAAATGTGATAATGTTGATGCAAATGTTAACCTATTTAATACTTGTGATACACCAGCTCTAGCTTGATGTGCTTTTTTTTGATCACCCCAATTACCTGTAGCAAGTGAGTATCTTAAACCATCAGTGATAATTTTAGTTTTTATAGCAAGTTCAAGATTAAAATCTTTTCCTCTATCAATGAATTTTTGTGCATACAATCTCACTTCTTTCATTAGATTTTTAAATAATCCTCTAAATAAGAATGCTAGTAATGGACCAGCTAAATCTAATCTTTTATTTCCATAATGATCTCGATCATCTAATTCTCTTCGACCTAAAGAGGCTGATAATAATCGATGTACCATATAACCAAGAAAATAAGCTTTTTTAGTTTCACAAAAATCACTTATTCCTACATGTGGAAGCATTTCTTTTTGTAAAATTTCTCTGGCATACTTAATACGTTTTTCTTTAGTTACTCCAGGTCTTGCACCTCTAGTACCAATAAAATTTAAAGCCACATTTTGTTCTTGTATTACAAATGCTTCATCTAAAGAAGGTTTCACCATTTCCATCATTTCAGGATCATCAAAATCATATATAATGTGTTCTAAAATATCACGATCAGCTACAAATCCAAGTGCACGAAATACAATCATAATAGGAATTTCTTGTTTAATATATGGAATAATTGCAATAATACGTTGACCTATAGCAGATTTTTTAATACTAGCTCCACTTTTTGCCATCATATTAATCCATAATGTAGATGTAGGTCGTGAACTATGTTCTAAACAAGATCGAATTTCTGATTTATATGCATATTTACCATCTTTCATACTAAAGACATAAACAGTATTTGTTGCCATTTTTTCTTGTGCAATAAGTACTTTTTCTGATCCATTAATAATAAAATAACCTCCAGGATCCAATGGACATTCATTTAATTCTGTTAAATCACGATCAGATAAACCAGCAAGTAAACAATATTTTGATCTTAACATGATAGGAATTTTTCCTATAAATGTTTTTTGATGTTGTGTTTCAATAGGATCTTCTCCATCTTTTACAATTGTTTTAGTTATATCTACATATAATGGTGCTGAATAAGTTAAATTTCTAAGTCTTGCCTCATTAGGCATCATAGGAGATGGAGCTCCATCTTTTTCCCAATGTGTAGGTTTTGATAAATAAATTTGTTCAAATTTTAATAAATGTCTAACTGGATTTTCTATTTCACCTGAAGTATGTTGTGCTTCTGCTTGTAAATCAATTTGTGGAGAATCTTCAACAATTCTTTGAACTGACATTTCAATAAATTCATCAAAACTATCAAGTTGTTGCCGTACAAGACCTTTTTCATCAAAATAAGCATTAATAACAATCCAGCATGCTTCCTGCCAAAGTTTTGATGAAATTTCTTCTGCATCTTCATCATCATATTGATCTAAATAAAAATGTTATAGATATTCAAATTATAGATATAGAATATTATATTGCATTTTAATGTTTATTATGTTTACTATATTGCATTATTAATGTTAATAATCTTGCTATATTTTTTCATATTAATATAAACATAAATCCTTACCTTCTTCAAGTGAATACATTTTCTTATTTATTATATACAATGTCACACATGCAAGTACAAAGCTTCGCTTAGTGTAATGTCATGAACTATTTCTCATATCTTAATGTAAGATGTTGTTCGTATATATATTAGAATAATGAGTATGTCCTTTCTTTTCATTGGTCTATTATTTATTTACATGGTAATATGTTAACTGCAGTTTTACTATACTTATATAGTTCGGAAATAAAATAACTAAATATTTAAAGAATAAATCAACATTAGATTATGTTTAAATATTCATTTTTGATATTATAAATTTCTAAAATCGATATTTTTAGATTTCATCAAAATCTATCAATTGATAAAAAAATAAATAAAAAATAAATAATTTTTTAAATTTTAAAAATATATTTATGAAAATATAAAAATATACAATATATCTATAAATAATATACAATATATAAAAATATAAATTATTATTCTTAAGTTATATTATATCATCGCCATTTTAAAAAATGCAACTTGTATTAAATATAACATTTAATAACGATATTTTTTTTAGAAAATGTTGAAAATATTAAAATTTCTTAAATATCAATAATAAAATGAATTGTTGAAATTGCTAAAATGAATTGATGAAAGAAAATCGATAAAATTTTTTCTTTATATTATATTAATCTATACAACAAATTGTAACTCTTGATATAAAGTAAGTAAATGAAATATAATGAGATATATATAGTATCAAAATATATGTATTTTATAAATACACTCTAAATCTTGAACTATAAAAATACATTATAAATTAACATTTCATTAAAATTATATGATATTAAGTTCTTATTATTTTATATTATGAATATA